ATATATATATATATATATTTGTACATGCAGTGTGCACATAATGCCCTCTTATTCCGCCGCTGCTGCCATATACCTGCATATACGGAAGCGAGGCTCTGACTGCGGAGTTTCCAAAAGAGCGGAGAGGCCGGACGGTGCAATGGAGGATTTTCAAGATGTGCTCGTACCGTATAGGCTTGCAGGTATTTAGCGAGATTTAATTAAAAGTGTGTGCTCGACACGAGAGGATTCGCTCTGGGAGTAAATGTACGACACGATAAAAAGTCTTTTGGCGAAGCACTTTGCGTACGTACGGCAACTCGTTTCGTACTTATAATTCAATGGGTTTATTAAATTTTGTGCTTCGATTTGGGAAAAAAATAGTATAATCAACACCGGGAAAACTTTATGACTTTGTGAATAGTTACCGCGCTGGAAAATATCAAATCGAAAGAAGAGGAGCGACGTTTGTGCATTGCAATATAATGAACCAGTTAGGCGCAAGGTATATAATAATAAACCGGCCCCGTCGCTTGCGAAAATTTCGCAGTGTGTATAATTGAGAGCCGTGCGTGGTTACTCGTTATTTTTCATGCATGATGGAACATCAGCACATATACACACATTGTGCTGAAAAAAAAAAAAAAAAAAAAAAAAACACGTGCACCAGCATCGTGCAACTGTATACGTTCTCGTTACACGGTGCCGTTAATTAAATATTTCTGCGTGGAATATAATATGACGAAATGATGTGCGTAATCATTTATTTTCACAAAGTATGAGCGGGAATGAGAAATATTTACACAAAATACACTTTACGCGTCGTTTATCGATGCCATTTATCACTCCTCAATTACTGGCTGTTTTGTTGTTAAGTGCATTAACCATCGGCTAAAATTACACTCATTAAAGAAACAATGCAAAAATTTTATGGGTAAGGAGTATGGTACGCGCGCGTGATAATTAAAGAAAAAGTTACGTTGCGTTATCATGCAGGTATCGTATAGCTATAATGACAGAGGAAGACGACATCAACAAATAAAAACCAAAATATACCTTTCGTATCCTCCCAGTGTGGGTGTAAAGGTGATACCCTGTTATATGTTTATTGTACTTCATTTAATTTCAATGACTGGGTCACGCAAATTGCTTGGCGCTGTAATAATCAAAACTTGTAGTTGATCAAGAAATTGTTTACTGAAGGAAATATAAGGTCCATTTATCTTTGTATGATAAAAAATTTGAGTGAAGAGGCGATAGTGGCAAGTAAGTAAATCAACCCCGAGCTAATAGTTTTTATTGCGACTGGCGCACGTACCCAGTACCAGTCGGTGCTAAGCGCCGAGGTACTTCAGCGAAGTCATTACAAATTGGAGGAATTGTCCGGTGATTTGTCAAGCGGCAAAAAGAGCGCACGGGAGGAGAGCAGGAAGGGAGAGAAGACAAAAAAGCGCTTGGCCCGGTTACCTTGGCCATAAATTGTCGAGGTTCATAAATAGCTGGATGCTGAGTTATTAGCGCCCCCTCCCCACCCCCGGATCTTTCTTTTTTTCGCGCTGGATGCCAAATGAAGCTCTGCCACGGTATCGGGTTAGGTAAACGGGTTACGATTATGTCAGTCGCTGCAAAAGTCTATTGTGTCGTGTACAAATGATTCGTTTCGAAATTTTGCAAAAAAAAAAAAAAAAAAATAACAAGTAAATTTAAGCCCACGAGATTGTAAAAAAATCCTTAAGCTGCAAATTCTTGGAGGTATTTAATTCTCAACATAATTACGTACATTTGGAAGAAAAATGTGTCAATGGATCATCCGGGGATCCGTTCGCTTGGAGCACCAATGCTACAGTTTCAGGTGCGAAGCTGGCGCTTAAAAAAAAAAAAAAAAAAAAGGAGTGTCCTCAGTTCTGTCACGACAGCGACTCTATCATTCGAACAGAGAGGATGAGGGAAAAAATAGGGGGGGGGAGAGCAAATCCGCGAACGGCGTCGATCAACCCGAGGGGGTAAGCTGATGCCAGGCCAGGGAAGAGGGGTCGAAACGCACTACTACGAGTTGTCGCCTCAGCACAAAACACGCAGCTGCTCCAGCTCGGCAGGGGCGTACGAGCCGAGTCAGCGAGTCCGGTTGTACCTACCTACGGCCTTGCGGCTATACTCGATTCCTCGTTCGCCCGGATTTTCCTTTTTACCGCGATGCTAGGGAGCTTTCGTTACTTTTTACGCGAGAGGATTTTATTGGTCCCACAGGCCAGCTAGTGGACTTTGAATTTATTTTTTTTACAGCTTGGCTTATGCGGACCAAGATATCTCTACTACCAAACTAAGGTGCCTACTGTTGAATTACGGAATTACACGACTTATCGGTAGGATGAGTAAAAAAAAAAAAAAAAAAAAAATCAATACTAACCTGTAGACGCTGTGATCGTAGTAGAGGAGTATCCGGAGCGGCTGGTTGATGCTGCGTTTCTTCACCACGTGGGCTGGCTCGATGTGAACACCGTGTACGACCTGTCGACGCAAACGTAAAAATTTCCTTGTAATTACATGGGTATATAGCTACATTTTTTTTTTTTTTTTAATTCATACATGACAAATTGCAAATGACATTATATATGTGTTGGCCCTCGCAGCTCGCGGGCGACGGCGCTCCTTAATTAAAAAAAAAAAAAGACAATAAGCAACGCATGAGAAGAGCCCATAAGTGCATCAGTGATATCGTGTGGCGCGTAGATTGGTATAAAAGTCGAGACCACTCGATAATAATACCACTTGTGGCCCCCCCCCCTCTGTCTTTGCCCGTCTGGCTGTCTCCCTTCCTCCTCTTTGCAGCAGTCAATAGGCGCCAAGTTTCATTTCGCAATGCTCGAGCGCGATATAATTGATATTTCTGAGCATTCGAGAGATGTATATATTTGTGCATTGTGTCGAGAAGACAAAGAGGGAAGGCAAGTGGAGCGTCTCGAAGAAGCTAGAACGGCGAGGGAGACTCGGAATAATAACGGCGACTGCAACGCGAGCCGCGATTCCCTCTTCCGAGCGAGTGACTACACGATATAGGCAAATTCCGACCGAATGGCTCCCTTACCTATCCGCTTGGCTGTCGATATTTTTGCTCATTGACAAAACTAACTGTCTCTTACGCTTGGTTACTCTCGTCGATTAAAAACTACGCTTGGCTCGCTCGAGCTCGTTACTTTTTTTTTTTTTATCCCTTACAATTTAAATACTAACGACATCCACCGACTACTACATAATGTACGTGAGCACATTTGTATTAAAAGTACGAGCCGAGTAAAGTTACGGCTCTTCCGTAACGTGCAATAATTTCTTCCAAAGTATCACTTTCAAGTCTACGGCTGCTGCACAAGATGACTGTACGATGATTTAGGACGGCGCGGCAATTTATGGCACAACTCCTGCCAGAAGGGGATAAAAATCCATAGAGGAGAGCTTAATATGTATAAAGTCAACGAGCATAAAACCTATATAATCCGAGTCTGGGCTTTTCTTTTTGCAAAGTGCCCTGAAAAATGATATCACTTCTGCCTTGCGAGGAAAACCGAGGGAAGAAAGGAAAATATACATATATAGGCACGCGCCGGTGACTTTTACTGCGAAGGGCGCGATAAAATAAAGAAAAGAAAAATTATTCTAGCTGCGTCCGAAGCAGGAGCTGCTCGTGAGTTTGATACGAAGGGAGCAAAAAAGGGGGCCGTTTTTAATCCTAGCTCCACATGGGAGGTCAACCGGTTTATAAATAATGAAAATAATCGCCGAAAGCTCCACACCATATCCGCTGCAACAATCGAGCCGCATACGTTCGTGCGGTGGCATCTCTAAATTTCCGTGGAGGGCGCAGTGCAGGGGACTGGAATAGCGCGGAGCCACGCAACGCGAGCCCGGAAGGAGAAACAGTTCCAATTACGAATTAATCGATGCGCCGGCCCCCGCCTTGGGATTTGCAATGCAATTATACGGCCAGCCGAAGCTACGCGGCGTTCCGTAACTTTTAATCCGCTATGGTTTTCTGGCTCGAGAGGGTGTATATTACTGCCCACGGTGTGTATTACTCTTTTTTTCCGAATTTTTCTTTTCTTTTCTTTTTTTTTTTTTCGTATTTCGGGCACATAATATATACACCCATTGTGCGTATCCTCCACTTTAGTTAATTAGAAATAAATTTAATTAATGGAGGAAAAAAGTCGAAGACGTTTTGGAGATATTTTCCTTCCTCTGATACCAACTACTTCTCTCTTTCTCAACGTGCAAGTGTTAATCTCCTTTTGACTCTTGGCCTATTCTTTACAGTCGTAATTTCGTCTCTGTGCTCGTTTTTCCCGGCACAAGGGACGAAAAGCTCCTTAACAGTAATGCGATACTTCGAGAAGCTACGACGTCGACTGCAGGGTCCTCCTTCCGGGTGAAACTTTTTTTTTTTTCTCTTCTTCTTCCTCGCCTTTTCATCCCCTTCCGGAGTCTCTTTCTTCTCTTTTTCACGTACCTACTACCACTAGTGCTTCCAGCATTCGGAAATCGCTAAAGTTACTCCTCCCTTCCGAGGAAGTATTCCAGCGATTGCTAACTTCCTCCTCCTCGAAAAGTTAAATTGGAGAAGAATGACCGAAACTTACCGTCAAGATTGCTAAACTTTTTCTCAACCGTGTAATTATATGCCGTGTACATATACACACAAGGAGCTCGGCAACGCGTGACGCGCTAAATCATTTTTTCTCACAGGTACCGCCCCACCACTTTTTGGGAATGGGGTGGGGGGGGAGCTCCAAAGTGACAACTAATTGAAACTTATTTAAATACTCCTAGTGAAATTCGGGCCAGCTGTTGTGCGCTCGTAACGCATACACGTCCGAGCGAATGGCACGATTACTCTGCATTAAATAGTTAAACAGGAGTTGGCCGGCAGGGGCCATAAATGTCCGCCAGGACGATTCCATAAATTAGAAAATTAAGCGAGAGTCCTCGAAAATTTATTAATCCCCCGGCCGGTCTCCATAAGTCCCAGCGTTTTTGAGGACATTAAGCCACTCCCCACCCCCCACGCAGCAGTTCCTCCAAATAATAGCCACTGCCGGCTGACAAAGGGAATTTCGTACAGAGAGGGAGATAATAGAGAAACCGGAAGCCGCGGTGGTCGCGTCCGTCGGAATCGCCGACCACTTTGCGCTCGCGCGTAAGCCCCGGGTACAAACTATACGTATATAAGCGGAAATCTCGAGTTCGAGGGGAAGGAGTGGGTGCGCTGCTATACCGTTGCAAGGTGGCGAAGAGAGAGAGAGAGAGTCCGACTCGTTCTCTCCGCTCGTGGTCGCACTTACGGCAAACTTGCGCCGGAGAGGCTGCAGAATGTTCGGTCCGAGAGTGCAATCCCGTGCGCGCGAGCCCCTCGACCGTTCCCCTCATGGCTGCTCCGTAATCGCAAGCCGCACCGCAGCGGAAAACTGAATTGAGAGAGACGCGCGCCAAAGCGAGAGAGAAATTGAGTGTAAGAAAGTGGACGGGCGCAAAAGTGATAATGCACCCTCTGGATTAATTGGATTGGCCATTCGCTTAATAAGCCGACTACCACCCCTCCAACCCCTAATGAAGGCCCCTTTGGGCGCCGTGTAATTATTGTTATATCCGTTTCTGCGTCAAGTTTTCAACTACTAATGTCCTCTGCATATATAGTGGGGGGGGGGGAAGGATGACGGTGTATGCACCATCAACTTTTTCAATTAAACTTGAACACTCTCGAGCGTAAATCATGGATTTTATACCCCATTTATTCGTAAAGTATTGCCATTCCTTTTAATACTCGCTTTATTCATTACTCCATCGGATCCGTAATGATCTGTAAGATTCAGGGGTACGGAGGTATAATGTTCAAACAACAACTGGAATTGCAAAACTTGCCCGAGAATATATTAAGGGGCTGCAGTTATGGGACGACTACACTGCCTGCAATTTCTGCAAAATTTCTTTTTCTTTCGTTTAATCGCAGAGAAACAAGAGAAGTATCTCTAAATGGATTAATAAAAAAGCAAGAGGAAGGAGACGAGTTTTAAATTCTAAAGTAACGCAGGAGTAGAGTGGGATTTAATTTCGGTGGCACAGCCCCTCTCGAAGCGGTGGAAATGACCGGTACATTTTATAACGTGGTTATTATCCAAAACGTTAATTTTATACTTAAGATGAAAGAAAAGAAAAAAATTAACTCGAGAGAGTCTTTGTCCACTCCGTATAATGAATTGTAATGGTGGTAGGAGTGTGTGCTTGTGTGCGCATGATATACAGTTTGGGGACGGACGTTGAATGAAAACTTTAGCGGCTCATCCAAGTCCGCGAGCCGAACAAAGGCAAGGCTAGAGGCGCGGAGAGGACGAGAGATAAGAAGTGAGCATCAGCAGGCGGAGACAGTTTTTCGTAGATGGTGACGTCTTATTCTTGGGCGAAATGAAAAAGTTTCAATGCTTCATTAAAACTCGACTCGGAGGAGCCCTGGCAGCTGGGATGAAAAATATTTGTTACGACGAGTGGAAACGAGCAAAGGTGAAAGAATGGCTGGCAGAAAAAAAAAGAAAAGTGTCAAGTTCATTATGGGCTGATGGGCGAAGGAAATTTTTCGAGCGTAATCCCGATTAACTGCCTACGGCACGCGCACGCGGATGGTGTGAAAAAAACTCGCGAGTTAATGCGAGCGAGCGTATATATATAATACGGGGTATACGTACGTCGCTGCCAGTTTTTTTTTTTTTTTGCGCGCCTGTTTTTTTCGCGCGAGTTACCTTCATTCTTTCGTTTTTCCCTTTTGTACTGATGTGACGGACACCATGGGAAGAAAGGGTTGAATTAGTTAGCGCGTATTTTACGTATAATTATCTCTTACCTGTACAGCTACCGGTAAGTACTACTTGTTTCCTTTTTATTTTTAACTCGACTTTATTCACCCACAAGAGGGTACTATTTATGATTCTCCTTGTAGCAGTACATCGGCGTTGATGTAAATATTTAACTAAATCATGATGCCGTAGTTTATGAAAATTTTATGAAGTAAATGGAAAAATTGGGTAAAAGAACTCACAATTGTTTTTGTAAAATTTTATGCGTGAAACGTCAATTTCTTTATTGAATTTTTATTTCAAGGAGGAGGGTACGTAAAAAAAAATACCTCATACCATGTGGATTTACTTGATTCGTTTAGCAGCATTAAGTAGGTCAAGCACCTTCTCGTCTCTCCGAGAAAGGAAAAGGAGCTGAAGAACACTACGCATTATCTATACCACCTGTTGCTCTGTTTGACGAGTTACCGAATTTTCCGAGGCGGTCGGTTCTTCCCGATACTTAAACGCTCGTCTTACTCGCACTTTGCAGTAAAATTATCTCGAAAACGGTGTTTAAAAATATACGTATTCATAATTCAAACGAAATAAAAACTTCAAACATGATGCTGATAACGTGAATATTTTCAGAACTTCGTCAATTCTTTGCCGACAAATTCATATAAATAATTT